TAATAGGCCAAGTTTTTCCGTATTTCAATATTTTTCTCATTTTTTTCTTATGAAATATAAAAGCTATTCATTTGATTATGCTTGAGCTAATTTTTTGTTTTAAATTTGAGTTAAAACTAATGTAGATATATGACCGAACCTAACCAACCCTACCTAACCTTACCTGTCTTAACTTAACCTAAACAACATAACTAAATCAATAATTTGTTCTTCATGTAATATAATAAAAATATTTAAAATAAACCAATAGGAAACAATTTATTGAAAATAAAGAAAATCACTCGGCCTATTAGGCAAATCGGGCCTTGCATAGTAGGCCGAGAAGTGCGTTCTGGCTACTAGGTACGACATATATATATATATATATATATATATATATATATATATATATATATATATATATATATATATATATATATATATATATATATGTGTGTGTGTGTGTGTGTGTGTGTGTGTGCGTACAAGCCTGAATGGTCCCCAGGACTATATGCGACTGAAAACGCACACCCCAGAAATGACTCGAACCCATACTCCCAGGAGCAACGCAACTGGTATCTACAGGACGCCTTAATCCACTTGACCATCACGACCGGACATTAAGGAAGTGATAGCCATTAATCATACCCTTTCCGTCATATTCAATAAGATATTTTTACAAGAAAGACTGCCACCGAAATATTCTAAATATCCCGCTCTACTCCTGCCTCGCCGTCTACTGCTCCACCACTCTTCACTGTTCAGGTGTGGCAGGGCTCAGGCCATCTGTGGCTGTCACTGTAGCCACAACCAGTGTCTACAGTGACAGCTGAAATATCCGTTTGATTGTCCAGTGTTGACATCAAAAGATCTCAAGCCCTCAGGAAAGTGATATTTCAATGTAAACCAATTTTGCAGGAGTGTTTGCCTTGTGAAAACTCATTATCTGTAATTTAGACAATCTATTTCGTAAGAAACTTATGTCCAAATCTGGATATTGAACGAATAGTTCTTTACATTCTGTTATGCGTATTTGACCGGCTTCTTGACCTGAGGCGATTGCTCAACTCTCCACCAGTGAATGTTTATATAAACTTTGTTGGGACTCAATATTTTTTTTCTTCAGAAAGTATTGAGAGATCTGGTAAGTGAAGGATAATTCAGGCTCCTCCTCTACTGTAGTTCTCGTATCACAAGTCTAGTTATCAGACTCAGCCGGTGGCTGAGCGGACAGAACACTGGACGCGAGATCCTGTGGTACCGGGTTCGATCCCGGGCGCCGGCGAGAAACAATGAGCAGAGTTTCTTTCACCCTGATGCTTCTGGTACCTAGCAGTAAATAGGTACCTGGGAGTTAGTCAGCTGTAACGGGCTGCTTCCTGGGGGTGGAGGCCTGGTCGAAGACCGGGCCGCAGGGACACTAAGCCCCGAAATCACCTCAAGATGATCAAATCAGAAAATTTATATTAAGGGCGTTACGGATGTGACGAAGTTATATGTGGACAGAGATGGTTAGAAGCAGACCAAACTCAGAGATGGTTAGTAGCTGACCAAGCTCAGAGATGGTTAGAAGCAGACCAAACTCAGAGATGGTTAGTAGCTGACCAAGCTCAGAGATGGTTAGAAGCAGACCAAACTCAGAGATGGTTAGTAGCTGACCAAACTCAGAGATGGTTAGTAGCTGACCAAACTCAGAGATGGTTAGTAGCTGACCAAGCTCAGAGATGGTTAGAAGCAGACCAAACTCAGAGATGGTTAGTAGCTGACCAAGCTCAGAGATGGTTAGTAGCTGACCAAACTCAGAGATGGTTAGAAGCAGACCAAACTCAGAGATGGTTAGTAGCTGACCAAGCTCAGAGATGGTTAGAAGCAGACCAAACTCAGAGATGGTTAGTAGCTGACCAAGCTCAGAGATGGTTAGTAGCTGACCAAGCTCAGAGATGGTTAGAAGCAGACCAAACTCAGAGATGGTTAGTAGCTGACCAAGCTCAGAGATGGTTAGTAGCTGACCAAACTCAGAGATGGTTAGTAGCTGACCAAACTCAGAGATGGTTAGTAGCTGACCAAGCTCAGAGATGGTTAGAAGCAGACCAAACTCAGAGATGGTTAGTAGCTGACCAAGCTCAGAGATGGTTAGAAGCAGACCAAACTCAGAGATGGTTAGTAGCTGACCAAGCTCAGAGATGGTTAGTAGCTGACCAAACTCAGAGATGGTTAGTAGCTGACCAAGCTCAGAGATGGTTAGTAACTGACCAAGCTCAGAGATGGTTAGTAGCTGACCAAGCTCAGAGATGGTTAGTAACTGACCAAACTCAGAGATGGTTAGTAGCTGACCAAGCTCAGAGATGGTTAGTAGCTGACCAAGCTCAGAGATGGTTAGTAGCTGACCAAGCTCAGAGATGGTTAGTAGCTGACCTAGCTCAGAGATGGTTAGAAGCAGACCAAACTCAGAGATGGTTAGTAGCTGACCAAACTCAGAGATGGTTAGTAGCTGACCAAACTCAGAGATGGTTAGTAGCTGACCAAACTCAGAGATGGTTAGTAGCTGACCAAACTCAGAGATGGTTAGTAGCTGACCAAACTCAGAGATGGTTAGTAGCTGACCAAGCTCAGAGATGGTTAGTAGCTGACCAAACTCAGAGATGGTTAGTAGCTGACCAAGCTCAGAGATGGTTAGTAACTGACCAAGCTCAGAGATGGTTAGTAGCTGACCAAGCTCAGAGATGGTTAGTAACTGACCAAACTCAGAGATGGTTAGTAGCTGACCAAGCTCAGAGATGGTTAGAAGCAGACCAAACTCAGAGATGGTTAGTAGCTGACCAAGCTCAGGGATGGTTAGTAGCTGACCAAGCTCAGAGATGGTTAGTAGCTGACCAAGCTCAGAGATGGTTAGTAACTGACCAAGCTCAGAGATGGTTAGTAGCTGACCAAGCTCAGAGATGGTTAGTAACTGACCAAACTCAGAGATGGTTAGTAGCTGACCAAGCTCAGAGATGGTTAGTAACTGACCAAACTCAGAGATGGTTAGTAGCTGACCAAGCTCAGAGATGGTTAGAAGCAGACCAAACTCAGAGATGGTTAGTAGCTGACCAAGCTCAGGGATGGTTAGTAGCTGACCAAACTCAGAGATGGTTAGTAGCTGACCAAGCTCAGAGATGGTTAGTAGCTGACCAAGCTCAGAGATGGTTAGTAGCTGACCAAGCTCAGAGATGGTTAGTAGCTGACCAAACTCAGAGATGGTTAGTAGCTGACCAAGCTCAGAGATGGTTAGTAGCTGACCAAGCTCAGAGATGGTTAGTAGCTGACCAAGCTCAGAGATGGTTAGTAGCTGACCAAGCTCAGAGATGGTTAGTAGCTGACCAAACTCAGAGATGGTTAGTAGCTGACCAAGCTCAGAGATGGTTAGTAGCTGACCAAGCTCAGAGATGGTTAGTAACTGACCAAACTCAGAGATGGTTAGTAGCTGACCAAGCTCAGAGATGGTTAGTAGCTGACCAAGCTCAGAGATGGTTAGTAGCTGACCAAACTCAGAGATGGTTAGTAGCTGACCAAGCTCAGAGATGGTTAGTAGCTGACCAAGCTCAGAGATGGTTAGTAACTGACCAAGCTCAGAGATGGTTAGTAGCTGACCAAACTCAGAGATGGTTAGTAGCTGACCAAGCTCAGAGATGGTTAGTAGCTGACCAAGCTCAGAGATGGTTAGTAACTGACCAAACTCAGAGATGGTTAGTAGCTGACCAAGCTCAGAGATGGTTAGTAGCTGACCAAGCTCAGAGATGGTTAGTAACTGACCAAACTCAGAGATGGTTAGTAGCTGACCAAGCTCAGAGATGGTTAGTAACTGACCAAGCTCAGGGATGGTTAGTAGCTGACCAAGCTCAGAGATGGTTAGTAGCTGACCAAGCTCAGAGATGGTTAGTAGCTGACCAAGCTCAGGGATGGTTAGTAGCTGACCAAGCTCAGAGATGGTTAGTAACTGACCAAGCTCAGAGATGGTTAGTAGCTGACCAAGCTCAGGGATGGTTAGTAACTGACCAAGCTCAGAGATGGTTAGTAGCTGACCAAGCTCAGGGATGGTTAGTAGCTGACCAAGCTCAGAGATGGTTAGTAACTGACCAAGCTCAGAGATGGTTAGTAGCTGACCAAGCTCAGAGATGGTTAGTAACTGACCAAGCTCAGAGATGGTTAGTAGCTGACCAAGCTCAGAGATGGTTAGTAACTGACCAAGCTCAGGGATGGTTAGTAGCTGACCAAGCTCAGGGATGGTTAGTAGCTGACCAAGCTCAGAGATGGTTAGTAGCTGACCAAGCTCAGAGATGGTTAGTAACTGACCAAGCTCAGGGATGGTTAGTAGCTGACCAAGCTCAGGGATGGTTAGTAGCTGACCAAGCTCAGAGATGGTTAGTAGCTGACCAAGCTCAGAGATGGTTAGTAGCTGACCAAGCTCAGGGATGGTTAGTAGCTGACCAAGCTCAGAGATGGTTAGTAGCTGACCAAGCTCAGAGATGGTTAGTAACTGACCAAGCTCAGAGATGGTTAGTAGCTGACCAAGCTCAGAGATGGTTAGTAGCTGACCAAGCTCAGAGATGGTTAGTAGCTGACCAAGCTCAGAGATGGTTAGTAACTGACCAAGCTCAGAGATGGTTAGTAACTGACCAACCTCAGAGATGGTTAGTAACTGACCAAGCTCAGAGATGGTTAGTAGCTGACCAAGCTCAGAGATGGTTAGTAACTGACCAAGCTCAGAGATGGTTAGTAACTGACCAAGCTCAGAGATAGTTAGAAAACCTCACCCAGGGATTGACCAGTGTTCCCACCTCAAGGGAAAGGGTCATCATGCAGTGAAGAGTTGGTGTCTTCACACCAAACAAACAAACAAACAAACAAACAAAGGAGGCGGACAGCTCACAAGTCGTGTGGGGAAGATAACCTAATGAAGTCAAACACGGACATCAAATATTGGGAATGAATAATTTTACATATTTTATGTCAAATTGCCAAGAGCAGTTTAATAATGGAATATGGCAGGAGGTGGTAACTGTGTGTCACTGAGCATCACCAAGTATAATATGGCAGCAGGTGGTAACTGTGAGTCACTGAGCATCACCAAGTATAATATGGCAGCAGGTGGTAACTGTGAGTCACTGAGCATCACCAAGTATAATATGGCAGCAGGCTGTAACTGTGAGTCACTGAGCATCACCAAGTATAATATGGCAGCAGGCGGTAACTGTGTGTCACTGAGCATCACCAAGTATAATATGGCAGCAGGTGGTAACTGTGTGTCACTGAGCATCACCAAGTATAATATGGCAGCAGGTGGTAACTGTGTGTCACTGAGCATCACCAAGTATAATATGGCAGCAGGTGGTAACTGTGAGTCACTGAGCATCACCAAGTATAATATGGCAGCAGGTGGTAACTGTGAGTCACTGAGCATCACCAAGTATAATATGGCAGCAGGGGGTAACTGTGAGTCACTGAGCATCACCAAGTATAATATGGCAGCAGGTGGTAACTGTGAGTCACTGAGCATCACCAAGTATAATATGGCAGGAGGTGGTAACTGTGTGTCACTGAGCATCACCAAGTATAATATGGCAGCAGGTGGTAACTGTGAGTCACTGAGCATCACCAAGTATAATATGGCAGCAGGCTGTAACTGTGAGTCACTGAGCATCACCAAGTATAATATGGCAGCAGGCGGTAACTGTGTGTCACTGAGCATCACCAAGTATAATATGGCAGCAGGTGGTAACTGTGTGTCACTGAGCATCACCAAGTATAATATGGCAGCAGGCTGTAACTGTGAGTCACTGAGCATCACCAAGTATAATATGGCAGCAGGCGGTAACTGTGTGTCACTGAGCATCACCAAGTATAATATGGCAGCAGGTGGTAACTGTGTGTCACTGAGCATCACCAAGTATAATATGGCAGCAGGCTGTAACTGTGAGTCACTGAGCATCACCAAGTATAATATGGCAGCAGGCGGTAACTGTGTGTCACTGAGCATCACCAAGTATAATATGGCAGCAGGTGGTAACTGTGTGTCACTGAGCATCACCAAGTATAGTATGGCAGCAGGCGGTAACTGTGTGTCACTGAGCATCACCAAGTATAATATGGCAGCAGGTGGTAACTGTGTGTCACTGAGCATCACCAAGTATAATATGGCAGCAGGTGGTAACTGTGAGTCACTGAGCATCACCAAGTATAATATGGCAGCAGGTGGTAACTGTGTGTCACTGAGCATCACCAAGTATAATATGGCAGCAGGTGGTAACTGTGTGTCACTGAGCATCACCAAGTATAATATGGCAGCAGGTGGTAACTGTGAGTCACTGAGCATCACCAAGTATAATATGGCAGGAGGTGGTAACTGTGAGTCACTGAGCATCACCAAGTATAATATGGCAGCAGGGGGTAACTGTGAGTCACTGAGCATCACCAAGTATAATATGGCAGCAGGTGGTAACTGTGAGTCACTGAGCATCACCAAGTATAATATGGCAGCAGGTGGTAACTGTGAGTCACTGAGCATCACCAAGTATAATATGGCAGGAGGTGGTAACTGTGAGTCACTGAGCATCACCAAGTCTAATATGGCAGCAGGTGGTAACTGTGAGTCACTGAGCATCACCAAGTATAATATGGCAGCAGGGGATAACTGTGAGTCACTGAGCATCACCAAGTATAATATGGCAGCAGGGGGTAACTGTGAGTCACTGAGCATCACCAAGTATAATATGGCAGCAGGGGGTAACTGTGAGTCACTGAGCATCACCAAGTATAATATGGCAGCAGGGGATAACTGTGAGTCACTGAGCATCACCAAGTATAATATGGCAGCAGGGCGTAACTGTGAGTCACTGAGCATCACCAAGTATAATATGGCAGCAGGGGGTAACTGTGAGTCACTGAGCATCACCAAGTATAATATGGCAGCAGGTGGTAACTGTGAGTCACTGAGCATCACCAAGTATAATATGGCAGGAGGTGGTAACTGTGAGTCACTGAGCATCACCAAGTATAATATGGCAGGAGGTGGTAACTGTGAGTCACTGAGCATCACCAAGTATAATATGGCAGCAGGGGGTAACTGTGAGTCACTGAGCATCACCAAGTATAATATGGCAGCAGGTGGTAACTGTGAGTCACTGAGCATCACCAAGTATAATATGGCAGGAGGTGGTAACTGTGAGTCACTGAGCATCACCAAGTATAATATGGCAGGAGGTGGTAACTGTGAGTCACTGAGCATCACCAAGTATAATATGGCAGCAGGGGGTAACTGTGAGTCACTGAGCATCACCAAGTATAATATGGCAGCAGGTGGTAACTGTGAGTCACTGATCATCACCAAGTATAGTATGGCAGCAGGGGGTAACTGTGAGTCACTGAGCATCACCAAGTATAGTATGGCAGCAGGTGGTAACTGTGAGTCACTGAGCATCACCAAGTATAGTATGGCAGCAGGGGGTAACTGTGAGTCACTGAGCACTGTAATAACCCTATCTGCTCTTCCCTTACTCCACTCAACACCCCCAGCTCAACACAGCTTGCCGCTCAGTATGACCTTCACTGAACTACAGCTAAATATTCAGCTGAAAAATTAAATGAGGAGGAAGCAACAATTGAAGGGATTATAAATTTTAAAGTAACGAATAAAAGCTTATTAATCACTGCCATCACCTCCCTGTTAACATGCCTGAATGTGTCTGTTACTGATTTCCCAGGAAGGAAGGAGTGAGTAATCATGAACTCAAGGGGTATAGGAATCTGGGTAATATTTGCGGCTGTTGATTGCTGGTAACACCAGCCATCAACAGCCAATTAATGCATAACTACACTCTACCCACTTCAAGACCCCGTATGGCCCAATAGACCCTCTGCATTTACTTTCATTCATATGTACCCACCTCACCCAAACCGAATATAAAAGCAAGATGTAGGTTAAATATACCATACACAGTGTATCATAAGTGTAGTGTTAAGTGAAAACAAGTCTTTGAGAATGTAAGAAGCCCTTACGAAACGCTTCTAGGCGTCAGACCAAAAATAAAAATGAATTTTGGAGAGTTGATATTTCAATTACCCTCGACAGTGGAGAAAAACATAAGAAATATTGCGAAAATTCGTGTTAGAATTATTATTCTTACCATTTCGGTCATATTCAACAACATATGTTTACAAGAAAGACTGCTACCAAAATATACGAATATATATAGACATATATATGCATATACACACATCCACATACATTTATGTCTCTCCTACTTTGACAGGGTAAGATAGTTGCTATAGAAACTAGTGTGTTATTAAGCACTTAACCACTGAAGGTGATTAAGGTGTGTTTACAAGCTCAGGTTATAGATACATCACAAACGTTGTATAACTGAAGCATTGTATAATCAATCTTGGGTACAAGTCCAGTATTATCAAGTGTTCCAGTATTCATATAGTATTTACAGAGTTCAGCATATGCTCAAGAAGGCGAAAGTCAGTCAATATGGGACATTCTACAATATAATGGTCAAGGGAACACATGTTTTCTCTTTCACAGAGTTGACACATGGTGTATTCCGACACTTTCACAAAGTTTACACATGAAGTAATCGACATATGGGTTTTGAGAAAGCTACCAGATACGTCAATATCCCAGGCGTATTCTGGCCACTATAACATGACATTGCCTAGTTCTTGCTCGATTAGTGCCATATAGACTGTCTCCTCACGATATTTAATTCAATGTTTAATACTACAACTTTCAAGTATTTGTGAATTTGTTAGGTCATTAAGACTTTCATTAGATATTTGTTTAAGTATTCTCTTTGTCACTGCTAATGATACACCCATATCAATGTCTTCTACTGATGTTCTACAGGTCTTTACAAGCATGTCAACAGTGTCATGCTCTGAGATGCCAACATGTGATGGTATCCAAATAAATTTAATTTCTGTCTTCTTTAGAAGCTGAAACATTCATTCGTATATCACTGAATATTTTCTGCGTGTTACTACTATGTGGGTTCAATGCCAGGAGTGCACTCTGCGAGTCACAGTATATAAGTCCACTGCCTTTGTCTTTTAAAAATTCAGTGACAAGGTATATGCCTGCAAGTTCGGTTTGAGTTGTACTTGCCCAGTCATTGACGCGCTTCATTGCTGTATGTACGAGAGAATTTTTTTTATGTATATTAAATGCACATCCGGTACATCGTCCACCTTCTTTTACCGAGCCGTCGGTATAGCACTGATACACATCGTTACCCATAACCTGAGTGTTCTCAGTGATGCTGTAGAGTGTTAACTGTTGTAATAATGTAGAGTGTACACTCTCTTTCTTGGGTGCATTTACCAATCAACTGATCGATCCCAGTTATCCCATGGATTAATTGGTTGATTAGTCATTAATTGAGTTGGTACATATTTTGAGAGAGTTGTAGCTGGCTATATTGTAACACCAAAATGCATAATTCGATTTCCCTCTTCTTTTACTGACCTGAGGTGAATGTATGAGTTAGAGTGATAGAGCCAGTGAGCAACACGAGAGCATGGGTAGAGTTGACAAGCGAAACATCAGCAGCTGGACTGAGAGGTGAACACCGCCTTGGTAACAGGCGAGAATTAGTGGGTCCGTGATGGAAATGGCTTTGGTGAAAGTGGACGAAGCATTTACCGAGACAATTGCTTCTAATTCGTGCTAAAATTGGAGCTTTAAATTTGAACAAGTTATAACTAAGTTTAGTTAGACAGGCAAGGTAGAAGGATTGGGAGGGGTCCTCCCGGCAGGGGGGGGGGGGTCCATCCGGTCGGGGAGGGGGAGGGGGAGGGTTGTATTGGGAGAGGAGGATAGAGAGTGTTCAGGGTCTGGTAGTAGCGGAGAGAAACTTTCGTTTCGTAAATCTGAGAGCCGTTGTCCACCATTATTGACAGTGTATTAGTGTACAACACCATCACACTGACAGTGTAGCTGTATGGGCCCCCTCTCTGTACACTTGCTACTGACAGTGTAGCAGTGTGGGCCCCCTCTGTATACTTGCTACTGACAGTGTAGCAGTGTGGGCCCCTCTGTATACTTGCTACTGACAGTGTAGCAGTGTGGGCCCCTCTGTATACTTGCTACTGACAGTGTAGCAGTGTGGCCCCCTCTGTATACTTGCTACTGACAGTGTAGCAGTGTGGGCCCCCTCTGTATACTTGCTACTGACAGTGTAGCAGTGTGGGCCCCCTCTGTATACTTGCTCCTGACAGTGTAGCAGTGTGGGCCCCCTCTGTACACTTACTACTGACAGTGTAGCAGTGTGGGCCCCCTCTGTAAACTTGGTACTGACAGTGTAGCAGTGTGGTCCCCTCTGTATACTTGTTACTGTCAGTGTAGCAGTGTGGGCCCCCTCTGTATACTTGCAACTGACAGTGTAGCAGTGTGGGCCCCCTCTGTATACTTGCTACTGACAGTGTAGCAGTGTGGGCCCCTCTGTATACTTGCTACTGACAGTGTAGCAGTGTGGTCCCCTCTGTACACTTACTACTGACAGTGTAGCAGTGTGGGCCCCTCTGTACACTTGCTACTGACAGTGTAGCAGTGTGGGCCCCTCTGTACACTTGTTACTGACAGTGTAGCAGTGTGGGCCCCTTTATACTTGCTACTGACAGTGTAGCACTCTGTACTACTGACAGTGTAGCAGTGTGGGCCCCTCTGTACTCTGACAGTGTACAGTGTGGGCCCCTTATACTTGCTACTGACAGTGTAGCAGTGTGGTCCCCTCTGTAGACAGTGTATCAGTGTGGGCCCCTCTGTACTGCTACTGACAGTGTAGCAGTGTGGGCCCCTCTGTACTTGACTGAGTGTAGTGTGGGCCCTCACTTGCTACTGTGGCAGTGTGGGCCCCTCTGTAAACTGTATACTTGGGCCCGTCTGTATACTTGCTGACAGTGTAGCAGTGTGGTCCCCCTCTGTATACTTGCTACTGACAGTGTAGCAGTGTGGGCCCCTCTGTATACTTGTACTGACAGTGTTGCTACTGACAGTGTAGCAGTGTGGGCCCCTCTGTAAACTTGGTACTGACAGTGTGGCAGTGTGGGCCCTTCTGTACACTTGCTACTGACAGTGTAGCAGTGTGGGCCCCTCTGTAAACTTGCTACTGACAGTGTAGCAGTGTGGGCCCGTCTGTATACTTGCTACTGACAGTGGAGCAGTGTGGTCCCCCTCAGTATACTTGCTACTGACAGTGTAGCAGTGTGGTGCCCTCTGTATACTTGCTACTGACAGTGTAGCAGTGTGGTGCCCTCTGTATACTTGCTACTGACAGTGTAGCAGTGTGGTCCCCTCTGTATACTTGCTACTGACAGTGTAGCAGTGTGGGCCCCTCTGTACACTAGCTACTGACAGTGTAGCAGTGTGGCCCCCTCTGTATACTTGCTACTGACAGTGTAGCAGTGTGGGCCCCTTTGTATACTTGCTACTGACAGTGTAGCAGTGTGGCCCCCTCTGTATACTTGCTACTGACAGTGTAGCAGTGTGGGCCCCCTCTGTATACTTGCTACTGACAGTGTAGCAGTGTGGTCCCCTCTGTATACTTGCTACTGACAGTGTAGCAGTGTTGTCCCCTTTGTATACTTGCTACTGACAGTGTAGCAGTGTGGGCCCCCTCTGTATACTTGCTACTGACAGTGTAGCAGTGTGGGCCCCCTCTGTATACTTGCTCCTGACAGTGTAGCAGTGTGGGCCCCCTCTGTATACTTACTACTGACAGTGTAGCAGTGTGGGCCCCCTCTGTATACTTGCTACTGACAGTGTAGCAGTGTGGGCCCCTCTGTATACTTGCTACTGACAGTGTAGCAGTGTGGGCCCCCTCTGTATACTTGCTACTGACAGTGTAGCAGTGTGGGCCCCTCTGTATACTTGCTACTGACAGTGTAGCAGTGTGGTCCCCTCTGTACACTTGCTACTGACAGTGTAGCAGTGTGGTCCCCTCTGTACACTTACTACTGACAGTGTATCAGTGTGGGCCCCTCTGTACACTTGCTACTGACAGTGTAGCAGTGTGGGCCCCTCTGTTCACTTGGTACTGACAGTGTAGCAGTGTGGGCCCCCATCTGTATACTTGGTACTGACAGTGTAGCAGTGTGGGCCCCCTCTGTAAACTTACCACTGACAGTGTAGCAGTGTGGGCCCCCTCTGTAAACTTACCACTGACAGTGTAGCAGTGTGGGCCCCCATCTGTAAACTTACTACTGACAGTGTAGCAGTGTGGGCCCCCATCTGTAAACGTACCACTAACAGTGTAGCAGTGTGGGCCCCCATCTGTAAACGTACCACTAACAGTGTAGCAGTGTGGGCCCCCATCTGTAAACGTACCACTAACAGTGTAGCAGTGTGGGCCCCCATCTGTAAACGTACCACTAACAGTGTAGCAGTGTGGGCCCCCATCTGTAAACGTACCACTAACAGTGTAGCAGTGTGGGCCCCCATCTGTAAACGTACCACTAACAGTGTAGCAGTGTGGGCCCCCATCTGTAAACGTACCACTAACAGTGTAGCAGTGTGGGCCCCCATCTGTAAACGTACCACTAACAGTGTAGCAGTGTGGGCCCCCATCTGTAAACGTACCAC